CAGTTAGGTCTCAGCCTAAGGTGAACCTGTCAGATTTTTTTATCTGAAGGACAGTGGCTGTTAAGAAAGTGGAGGCAAAGGGGAAGGTAGCCTTTAGTGACTGGGTTCAGTATTTGCACAGGTAGCCACTGGGCACTCCCAGGGCTGGCAGTCTGAGTAAACACAGCCACGTGTCATTTGCAGATTTGTGATTTTTCTCAAGTTATCTTGCAGCCAGTCTTTGCCAGCAGAGCTTTCATGTTTTTCTAGCAGATAGTGTGGGTGTCATTAATCAAAAATGCAGTGAGATTTTGTGCTAGGAAACTAGCAAGGTTAGCCGTAAGGGATTCTCCAAAGAAGGTAAACAAGTTCTGAGCCTCTGAGAGGTTCAGTCCAGGTCAGTTGACTTTTAAGTCCAGAACTGTGGTCTTTCCACTTAAAGGTGAAGAGGGGCTGGCTGAATTGAAGGCAGAAGAAGGCACTTTAGGTCCAGGCAGGTGCACTAACAGGCTGTGGGTGGGAGAAGACTGAGCAACATATTCAGAGGACAATTACAGTGGCCTTGGCAGCTTGGAGATCTTAAACTGGCTTTACAAGCAGGAGAGGTATATTTCAGCAGTGCAACAGTCTAAAAATATCTTGAAGTTTTGATACCTCTCAATGTGTGGTTGAATTTCTAGCATGGCAAAATGTACCATTTGTTGCAGGTGAACAGTTGCTCCAGGACGGAATTTCACAATCAGAGGAAGGTGGTCAATGGTCCAATCTCAGGGCCTAATGGACTGTGACAGAATTGTGGGGTCAAAAGGGACAGAGAAGCAGGCTTTCTTGGAGCGGCCAAATCTGTTGCCTCAGGATCTGATGGGAGTAATCCAAAAGCAGAAGGTATATTTTGAATCTAGACATGTAAACCAGGTGACATCTGGAGGCAACAGTCCAAAAAGGGTGTATGGACTGGAAACCACAGATGAACAGTCTATCAGGATCCCACGCTGCTTTAGGTAGCTTTTGATATGTTGAGAAGCACATGCTACATGAGGTGACCTTTGGGAAAGGCCATGGCAACTCAGTCATCAAGGCTAACTAACACTCCAACTTTTCCTCAGTCAAAATGTGAAACTCAAGCGGATTTGTTGATAATCACTTTGGCTGGGAATTAGGTGACCAGGAGAGTCGTAGCCACGAAGCAGAAGGCTCCAGAGGAAGGCCTCCCTGGCCAAAGGTAGGCTATGGTTAGCTGCACCTCATTCAACTGGCTTGAAGGTGACAAGCTGAGAGCAGGGAATGAAGCTATCAGTGTTGGCAGCAACTGCGGCAGAGGTCAAGGGTACTAAGGTGGAAGTCTCAGGAAGAATGGGCTTTTTTCCTTTTTATTCTTTGAGACACAGGAAGTGTTGTGGTTTCACTTTTAACTCCACAAAAATCCTTTTCTCTACAGTTAGGGACTGCTGAGTTTTGACTAATTAATTCCTATCTCTGACTTCCTACTGTGTTCTTGAATGATGGTGCAACTGACAAAGAGTGATGGCCCCTCAGAGAGAGACCATTCAGATGCCCACCTGGCTGCACCCCTGAGGGGACTTAGGTACAACTTACCTAAGTAGGGTGTGAGGACTCTGCTATGTCATATAGATCGCCACGGCACCACATGTGAGGGTCCAATCAGCCCTACAATCAGTGCTTCCCAGTCCTGGTGCACAGATAGAGCAGCCTATTGCTTATCCTGTCTGTTCCACTCACTCAGACATTCATTCAACAGGCACTTAGAGGTTAAACATTCCAGCCCCTTTTCCTTGAGGGTGGCCCTGACTAACAAGAGCTGATCAGATTCTCCTTCTGCTTGAGCTGATGCAAGGCTGACAAACTAACCAAGGTACTTCTGGGGGTCTTACTGGAATCAGGCAGACAGACAGGCAGACAGACAGACTGCACGCCCCTCCCTTTGGGATGCCATGTGAGCCGCTTGAGTGGGGAGCCAGGAATCCTTCTCCAGACCTCTGTGGAGACTTGAGATGGCAAACCTTCCTGTCAGGACCTGGTGAGGTCCTTGCTCAGTCCACGATGGCCAAGACTAGTGACCAAAGACATCAGCATGGTCGGTCTTCTCAGCAACACACCAAATGCTACGGCAACAGAAACGCCAAAGCTACACCCAGGACTTAGAGGCAGATTTATGTAATGTCATACACTGACTAGGAATCAATTTTTCCTCAAAATATCAGGCCCTAAAGGCTCATGGGAGAGGTTTTTATGTGGGTGCAAGCAAGAAGCAGAGCATTTGGCTGTCTTTCGTTCTTACAATATGCACCATAGTGGCAAGCTGTACATCATAGTGGCCAGCCATTTCTAAGAAACAGAAGCAACTGGAACTGCAATAAGAACCTATCATCTGAGCAACTGAGGTACACTGGCTTGGGAGGCATTTTCTGCTACACTGTCACACACACACACACACACACCACAGGCAGGCAACTGGCACAGAATCTCAGGGAAAATATTGAGGATTACTGTACTTTTAAAAGAGTCTAAATGAGCACTCTAGCCATGCTCCAGATAGCAGAGAGAACATGATCTGCTATCTCGGCTTCCAGCACAGACTCCTCAGTCTTACCTCACAGACCCATTGGGCTTCCTCATAAGGACTCACACAGGGCACTGTAATGAACTCCAGACCTCGGACTGAATCCTTCAGTCTCCAGTGTGCAGACACTCTCTGAAAACTTCCTCATCTAACTCTTTGGGTGAATGTGGTAAGCCAATCTTGTAATTTCTTGTACATTTGTGTATCTTGAGTGAGCACTTACTGATCCGATGATTAAAGTCCGTGAGGACTGCCCAAGGACATTCATCCCCTCAGCAGCTCTCTAGCAGTCTATTTCTACCGGTAGCTAACAAAATGAGGTGACAAAAACGTACCTCTCTAATAAATGGCATTTTAGAACTCAAAATGTACACCTCAGATTCATAGAATTGTGGTATCTTGTCAATTCAATTAACAAGTGCTCTATTAATTAGACACATGTTCTATACCTGGTAATATGCTGGGTACCCAGAGATGATATACACAATAAAATAAAATACACTCCACGTCCTGAAATTCAGTTCCCTGACAAAAATGCTCTGTGGTAATCAATACATGGGTACTTGGATAGGATTTCAAATTAACACTATTAAAAAGGGAAGGGGTGACTATTGAAGGGGGAAAAAAGGAGGCACATAGGTAAGTAAATCCTTTCAGAAGAGCTTGGTGAGATGTTACTCCACAGGAAGAGACAGGCCAACCTTCAATAATCTGAGAAGGACATAGACCATCTATAGCAGTCTAAAATAATAATAAATGCCACCCAGGATTAGCAAGCAAGATTCATTCTGGTAACACAATAAATAAATAAATAGTTATGTGAGATAAAGACCTTTAAGACTGAGGTCAAATTTGAATAGATGAAGCCAAGGGGACAGGGGATGTGAAACTAATTTTCGGGTGATACAGACATAAAGGAGTGGTGCAGGCCTACAAGCCAGCAAGCTGAGAGGCTGAGCAATGCAGCAACTAGCAAGACTTACACTCCCAGCACTTGGGAGTGGTTCAACGCCAACCACCTCAGCTAGATAGTGAGTTCAAGACCAGCCTGAAATGCATAGTGAGATCCTATCTCAAAAAAATAACAAAAATAACATTTGGCTGGCTCCAAGGTAGGGTGGTACACAGGGGCAAGAGTTCATGGCTGCAGAAGACAGCAAAAGCAACAAGGACAAGCCTTTTTCTGTCCCTTATATTGCATGCAGGCTAACGGCCCTAGAGTGGTAGCACTCACACCCTGCATCCCAGCACTGGACCATGAATCAATCACAAACTCTACATTTGGTTACCTCTGAAAAGCCCGCCCACCCCCCCATGACCACCTGAGACTTTGGGGAGCCATCAGGACATAAATCACAACAGAAAGCTATATTTTAAAAGGCCTTTGGGCCACATAGCAGGAAGAAACACTTGACAAAGAAAAACTTCCTCATTAAGACACTAAGGAGAATTAAAACATTCGTTTACTGCATTTGTTTATACTTTTCTCAAAATGAATTATTTTAGTTTTAGTCTTTTGTTTTTGTTGTGTTTTGTTTTGGCAGAACCAGGGATTAAACTCAGGCCCTTGCACTTGCCGGGGAAGCGCTTAGTCTACCGAGCCACCTCCCCGGCCCCATTTCTTTTTGGGTTTAGGATTTTTTTTAATGAATTATTTTAATTAACTATACTGTCACACTTGCCAGATACACTCACAACTGCTTTTGCAACTCCAGAACCCTAGGATTTCAGAGCAGAAGTTAAGGGCTCTGCCACAGCTTTCAAATCACAGCATGCACTGGGCTAAAGCTGCAACTTGCTAACTGTTCTTCCAAGCCAGGACAGCTGATGAAAGCACAGCCCTTTGGCTCTCTGGAGAAAGACGACGCCCCACAAAAATGTTTAAACCTTCAAGAGTCTTCTCATAGCACCCATAGTGGCACAGGCCTCTCAACACCGGAGGCTGAGGCAGAAGGATCGCTGTGGGTTTGAGGGCTGCCTGGGCTATAAAAGTGAGTTCAAGGCCAGCCTGAACTGAACAGAGACTTCACAAGGCCTTCCTGACTCATCCTTGCTCAGAACTTGTCTCAACCGCTCTTTTCTAAAGGAAGTCTGGCCTCCCTTTCTGGGTAACCGGCCCACTTTCCTTCCTAGTAGCGATGGGCTCAGAGCAAAACCTCTCGCTGGGGAACTGTGTCCAAGCCGCGCCCTCCGGCCCACTCACGACCCCGCGCTCTCTCAAGACCCGACCCCAACCCCGGACCCCGGCCAGGCCCCCGCCTGCCCTCGTCCGCGCCCTCCCGGCCCCCGCACCTCTGCCCCGCCCCCCCGTCCTCACCCCCGACCCCCGCACCCGCCCTCCCCCTGCCCGCACCCGCCCGCGCCTTCCGGGGCCCGCCCGCACCACCGCCTGGCGCGCAGTCCCGCGCCCTCCGTGCCCACTCCAAGGGAAGCGACTTGCCATGGCGCGCTCGCGGCAGGAAGGCGCAGGACACCAAGTTTTGGTTTCGTTTTTTGTTCCTGCTCCAGGGAGCCTGCGCCGCCTGCCTCCTCTCAGAGGGGCTGCTGCCCGCGCCCTCCCACGTGTCCCGCACTTCGGCAACTTTGGAAAAGCCGTTGGAGGGAAGCCGGAGGTGTCCCGGCAGGAATCTGGGGTCCTGGAGTGAAGGCCCTCCTGGCTCCGTGGAGGTGGAGTCTCCGTCTGCAGCCCCCAGAGTCGCTCCGCATCTGCCCCGTCGCACCCGCCCGGGGACGGGGCGGGGTGGGGAGGCTTCTCTCCCGCCGGCCCAGCTCAGCCTGGCCCTGAGACGCGGGCACCCTACAGGTGCAAGCCTCAAAGCTAAATCAGGGGGCCGGGGAAATGGCTCAGTGGAGTAAGCACTTGCCTGGCAAACATAAAGGCCTGAGTTCAATCCCTGGTTCTGCCAGAAAAAAAGAAGGAAAAAGAAAAGTTAAATCAGGAGACTGAAAAAAGCAAATTAATGGCAGGAATTTTAATTACCACCCCTAAATGAAGTGTTTTTTGTTTTTTGTTTTTTGTTTTTTTTTTTCCGCTGAATGCCTTCAAGGCATGACTGGCTGTATTGTGTTGTGGGGATCGAACCCAAGCAACCTGAGCCTGACTGTTTTGTTGAAGCAGCCACTTAAAGAACTGAGCTACCAGGCAGGCCCCCTAAGGGTTTTTTTTTTTTTTTTCTTCCTCGAATGCCTTCAGGGCACTTTTGGCCAGCGGGAGAGTTGTGAGGTTCGAACTCCAGGAACCTGAGGCTGACAGCTTTGTGGAAGCAGCCACTTAAAGGACTGAGCTAGGGCCAGGCCCCCCCTAAATGAAAATATACAAGAAGCCATGAGATACAATTTTCCCACCCTTAGATTGCCAAAATTAAAATACATGACTGTGGCCTGTGTTCGGGGGCGGGGCTGGCGCGGCACGTGGTGTCTGGCATCGAACAAGTCCCTGTGCTGGACTAAGCTTGCCTGAGCAGGCACTGTAGACCACTGAGCTAGATCCCAGGCCGTGTAGTTTCGGAAGAATACCGGGGAGTCCGTGGCTCGGCCCAAAGTCAGCTCAGCTCACGGAGAATTTCAGAAATGGCAATTGAGGGTAGTGTTGGCACCTCCAGCTCCGCCTCCTTGACTATGGGGTATGAAAGTTCAAGCCCTATGCAAGAACCATTTAAAAATGCTTGGAACTCTAGGTTAAATAACCACACAAAGTTCCAGATCACAACGTGGGGCTCCTTCATAGTTCATGAAACCGTTTCTTACTGTGTTTACTTGGGTTTTTATCTCAACTTATACTTTATATGAAAATGTACAAGATCCAAAAGGATAAATCAGAATCATACAAAGGCCAGTGGAAATGTTTTAAAGTGCTTCTCTTTAATCCCTTCTGTATCCAGCTGCCTTTGATTTGTGGAACCTATTTTACAGAGTATTTCAATATTTCTTATGATTGGAGCCAGGGAGATGGCTCAGTGGAATAAGCGCTTCCCTGGCAAGTGCAAGGGCCTGAGTTCAATCTGCAAGGGCCTCAGATCAATCCCCTGTTCCACCTGGGGGAAAAAAAATTCCTTATGATTGGAAAACAGTGCCGAGATGGTACACACTGTTGGCAAGAGGTGCAGTCAGCGGAGACACCTGATGCTCCTAGCATAGATGCTCACACCACCTCAGAATCTATAGGTATATTCGCAGAGTTCATCATGAGTTTCAGGATCCATCCGGGATGGAAGCTAAAAAATCTCACATCCTTTGGAGACACTACTCCTTCACCCTGCTTTTATGTGATCTCGTAGTTCATCTCTGGGCTGGTGACCATGCATTTGATAGAAACTGCGGACGTCCACGATGGTTACGATAGTCCTCTCAACCCTTTAAAGCTCGTGCCTCCCTGTGCTGGCTGCTGGCATGGTGCTATCCACCACATGAACTTCATTGGAAACTATGTCTCGATCTTTACATGGCGGGATGGGCTGTTTGGGACAGACTCTCAGTTTAATGCATAGCACGAAAAGATGAAGATTTGGGCGGGAAAAAAGGAATAAATCTCTCTCAGACCTTCCCAAAGGCCCGCATTTTCCTGCATTGAAAACTGTAGCTAACGTTGCTTCTGGGGAGGAGAAATAAACATGTGTCTTGGCTGCTAATCAACAAAAAAGGACATTGACCTCCTTTACCTTCCTGGTGGGAACTTTATCTACTTTACGTACAAGTTCTGTATATGTACAAATGGATTAATTTATATTTAAGTACGATTTTCATGAGGCTAACCATGTTGCTAGCCTTAAAGGTTTTCAGTAATGGAAGTGTGGTGTGTCTTTTCCTCCAGTGCTACCAGAGGCCTGAAGCAGACAATGTCTTTAGACCTGTTACACACACATTTATTTGTGTGTGTGTGTGTGTGTGTGTGTGTGTGGCCAGCTCAGCCCACCAGGAGGCAGGGCTGGCTGGCATGTGGTGCTGGGGGATTGAACCGCGGTCCCTCTGCTTTGTTAAGCTTGTTCTAAGTAGGTGCTTTAGACCACTGAGCCATCTCACCAGCCTGGTCATTCTTAATAACAGCATTGGCGTTACCTTTGAAACACGTTAGAATTTGCCAAAAATCAAAATAGCAGGAAGGAACCACACAGCAGCTGAAACGGCAAGTGAGGGGAGTCGGCAAATCCACAGCAGCCAGCACCAGGGACTCCAGCTCCTGGCTGGAGCTGACAGCTTAGAGTGATACTTCCCAGGCTATTTTTTTATTGAGGTGCACCCTTGAACCTATAAATTACAACGTTTCTAATGTGGCTGGAATATTCTAGTCAAAACGTTTTCAAATTAAATTTTTTAAAAAGTTGACTTTATTTCTACTTACCCTTCCATTTTTGTACAGTAAGGTTTTTTTCTATGTAAATCTGTATCTTGAACTTACTACTGTATCTGCACTTTGAGCTATGAAATAAATAAATGCGATCTTTGTCTGACTAAAAGAAGCAAAACAACAACAAATTCTGGCCCCCTACTGAGGACCAGGCTATGTGATAGATTGTGGGGGGCCCAACTATGTGATTTAATCCCCAGAAGTCCCCAGGTTCATATGACTTTGCTTCAGAAATTAGGAGCTGTAGGAAGGCTTCTTGCTAATCAAAAAAGCGAGCCAACCAGAAGTAGCCAGCCACATCACTAGAGAGGAATGCCTGTAGTCCCTCTTGTACCCTGAAATTGTCTTTTTGTTTTTCTTTATTCCCCATCATCTCCCTACAGGACATTAACAAAGCTTCAGAAGCAGAAAGCCTGCTCTTCCTGGGCTGCCTACCACCATCCCTCCCCTCTCTGTGCCCATGTCTGCAGTGGGTCATGGAACTAGAACTCATCTCCCTCAAAAAAGCCATTAAAGTTAGAAAAGTCACTCTACCCATTCACACTGCTCCCTGGTAGGTATGTGTTTATATCAGGGGGTTCCTGCCATACCCAGGAGGCCAGATGCTGCTCAGAGAAGTCGTGAAGAATCTTGATGGGCTTTCTGGGTGCCCTCCTTTGATCACCTGTTATTGTTAGATCACAACTTTTTGTGCAAGCACATTTCTACCCATTTCTGTCCATTCTTCATAGAATTTAAGTATAAAAATAATTTTCCCTAGGTCTTTGGGTCATTTCTGAAGGACCCCATGTCTCATAAAACTTTGATGAAACACATTTGTTGGTTTATACTTGTTAATGCTCCTGTTAGCGATGTTGTTATAACAGTATTGGTCATGACCTGTATGGTGGCTAAGGAAAGTCACATCTTCTCATCCTTATCTGATCAAAATGCAACACAGGAGCGTGGTGTCTCTCCCATGATGCTCTTCTGCCATGTTCTAATGCATTACCTTGGACCCAGAAACAATGATCCAGGCACCTATGGACCAAAACCTCTGAAACCATGAGCCCAAATAAAACTTTCTTCCTTTTAGATTATTACTTTCAGGTACTTGGTCATGATGGAAAGTTGATCAACACAGAATCCAATTAAAACATTATAATACATAAATCATTTATCAAAAACCATCATGAAAATTTGGAATGGAATGAAATGATCAATTTTATTGCCTAAAGAAGGCTGGATACATAAGCTTGGCAGTCTAAGCGCCTGCCTGGCAAGTGCAAGGACCCAAGTTTGATCTCCAGTACCACATGCCATGCAGCCTCAGGACCTTGGGCGGGCCGCGCCCACCACTGAAACTGAGTATGGTGGTGCACTCCTGTAATCCAGGGTTGGGGAGGCTGAGATAGGAGGATTACTACAAGTCCAAACTGCATAACAAGATCCTGTACCAAATAAATAAATAAATAAATATTTAGAAAAGAAGGCCTCCAAAGAGACAAAAGTGATAATTTTAAATTTTTTTCCTAAATATTAGAAAAATATCTTCCTAGTTCCAAAGAAAAAAAGGCTTGTCGTGATAATTTATAGCCACAGTCTACAAACAATTCTTTCTGTGCTCATGAAACTGTATAAGGCGATTGAAATGTACCTCTAATGTGTTTCCTTTGCTACATTTGAATGTGTCCTCCAAAGTCATGTTTGGTAAACTTAATCCCCAAATTCATATATTATGGCATTTGGGTGTAAAGTCTTTGGGAAATCACTGTCGTGACAGCAGTGCTCTTATAAATGCTTAATGCCTTCATCAATTTGTAGATTAATCCATCATTGTGGAAGCAGCTGTTATAAGAGCCAGTTCTCTCTGACAAGCTTGCTGTGCTGTAGGACATCCTATACACTGTGACACAAGAAGGCCTTCTGCAACAGTGGGTGACATGTCCTGCAAGCTCCCAGCCTCCAGGGCTATACGATAAGTGGGCCTCTCCTGGCAATGTAGCAGCAAATGCCCCCCACAACCAGTCAGCTAGTTGCCCAGGTAACACTTCCTGCTGCAGTTCTGTCTCCTATAAATGGCTGGTCACTATCACACACATTGTGAGAATCAAAGACAGCCAAGTACTCTGCTTCTCTACTTCCTGTTTGCTGATCCCATATGAGCCTCAACCTACCAAGGATCAGGGCTTGATATTTTGGGGATGATCCTGGCTAGTTCCCATTGACGTACAACAAATCTGCCTCCAAATCCGGGGTGTCATTTTGGTGTTTCTGCTTGCCACAGCATCAACAGCAAACAGACTAAGATTGTCTTAATACTTTTGAAGGTTTTAAGTATTCATTAGTTCCAAAGAAAAAAGGCTTGTCATGGTAATTGTAGAAATGTATTTTTTGTTGTTTGTTTTTGTTATCATTGTTGGTTTGGTACCTGGAGTTGAACTCTGGACCCTGCACTTGCCAGGCAAGTGTTTGTGCCACTGAGCTATATCCCCAGCTAGAAATTTATTATAAATTATATGGTGTCTAGTCACCATCTGTCATTCCTAACAGAAACATGAGAATAATGAATACATCTGGCAGTAAACTTAAACCTGATAATAAAACAATAAGCAAAACCCAAACTTTCCCCTTTTTGATATTCATTAGATGGCAGGAAGCAGGGCTGGGGTACAGTTCAGTGGTAAAGGACTTCCCTAGCGTGTGTGAAACCCTAGGTTCAGTCCCCAGTAGGAAGGAGGCTGGGTGGCTGAAAGCAAGGGACAGGTTTAGATCGTTTTCTCAAATCACTCATTTCTACCATCACTTAAATGTGAGTTTAATTCTGTTTCCAGCTCATCACAAAACATACTGTGTAAAAATAAATGGTATCTGAAGATAATTTTTTTAATCAAAAAAGAATTTACTGCCTCTGACTAAGAAACTTTAATTTTATCCTTAAAGTTTCTGCACATTTAAAACAAGCAGCCGGGGGTAGTGATGCACACCCGTAATCCCAGCACTCAGGAGGCTGCGGCAGGAAGATCGGAGCATATTTGAGACCAACCTGAGCTACAAAGTGAGCTCAAGGCCTGAGCTGCACAGTGAGAGCCCTATGCAGCTCAAGGCTTGAGCTACATAGTGAAACCCCTATCTGCAAAAGACAGATACCCACCCCCCAACAACAACAAAAAAAGTTAGAAAGCTGGGTCTTTCTCCAACAAAACTTCAAGCCCCTAAAGATCAGGAACCATATTCTGTCTCAAGGCTCCCCAGCATCTAAGTATGATCGATGATAACTCAATAGCTTTATACGTAGCGCTCTCTGTGTTCAGGCTTTTCTGTATTTCCATGCTTCTTCCCACTGACAGTAGAAGAGAAAGAAACTACGGGTTTTTACAGGCTCTCTGGGGCAGAGAAGTTGGGTACCTTGGAAGCAATCAAGGGGCCCCTGGCATTCTCAGTGAAGGAGAGCTCAAGAGAAAGCCAGCACTGAGCTGTGAGATCCATGGACTGTAGAGCAAAACGTTATGCAACGTGAGGTGTGATCACTCCTGAAGCCCCTTGAATCTTTGGCAAAGTCTACAGAAATTACAAACTGCTTTGTGTAATTGTGTTTCTTTCAGAAAATATTAAGCATCAAGTCTACACAGTGGTGGGCATGGGACCAGAATGGCATTGGCCCATGGGACCATGACATCGTGTACCAACACAGGCAGGGGGACTTGGGCTCACTTGTTGTTTTGACAGACATGGAAGCCTTCCACCTCATTTATAAACAAAACCATTTTAATGCTGTGCTCTTAGGCACTTGTAAACATGCAGCAGAGTCTGAAACAAAGAAGAATTTACCAACTTGGAAATATATTTTGTATTTAAGAATAAATGGACACTAAAGAATTAAAGTGTTCATTTCTCAAAGAAAAGGGTATTCATTTTGCCAAATGTTTACAGTGATTTGAGCTCAAAAGCTGTAATTTTCATATGATTCCATCAGTCTATTCTTCAAAATAGGCTACATAAGGTTGCCCAAGGGAACACTTAACCACTTCTACCTCTCCACCCCCATTCTTCCCCAGTTGAAAGTGAATGTTAATGAAATCCTCCGCAGTCTCTTCTTCTGTCCAACATTGTTCCATTCCAGTCAGGAGCACTGTCCTCTTAGATATTCCTGATAATATCTAAGAAAGACAGAAAAAGATAAATAGAAAAATTTCTAAAAACTTTGAATTAAAAATTTTACATTCAAAAGCTATATACAGTATCACTGGCAGAAACTTTAAGAATATAATTAAAATTTCCTTCTGCCTAGTAGAGATAGGGAGCCTCAGGAAGATTTTCAAGCAAGAGAGTGTTGATGTCTGACTTCAGAAAAGTGACTCTGGTGGTGTTATGAAGAAGAAAGGGGAAAGACAGCAGCTTGAAGTCAGAAAGACCTGTCAAAGAGGACAAGGTAGAAATTATACAATTTGTGACCAAATGAATGTTAGAGGTGAAGCAAAATTAAGAATTAAGTATGAGCTGTAGCTCCCAGGTTGAAGGGCTAGGTAGATAGTACCACTCTTTAACATCTGACAAAGAACAGAACACTGCAGCAAGTTTGGAATAAAAATGAGTTCAAACTGGGTGTGGTGCTATGTGTCTGTCTGTAATTCTGGTGCTGGAGGAGGAGGGCTGTGCAGGAGGACCACATATCAAGCCCAGCCTGGGCAATTCAGCAACTTAGTGAGACCGTATCTAAAAAAAATAAAGGGCGATGTAGCACAATGTGAAGTCCTGGGTTCAATCCCCAAGACTGCAATTTAATTAATAATAATAATAATAATAATAATAATAATAATTTCAATGAAAATAAGCTGAAAGAGCCAGGCATGGTGACACACACACCACAACCCCAGATACTCTAATAGAAGCACAAGCTTCATGCCCAGTGATAGAAGAGACATAAGAGAAATGCACTTGTGTCTCCACATACTAAGTGTTATAGTTTGTCTCTAGTTGTCCCCTCAAAGCCTCATGTAAGTAATGGAGTGGACTTCCAGAGTTTGTGGTTAACTCATGATCCGCTAGGACTATCTGTGTGAGCGCTACCCAGCCTGAGGTGGACAGCATGACTGCAGCATGAAGCAGACAGGCTTCCTCTCTGTGCCCATGGTTGCTCCTGCTCCCCCCTTTTGCTCTTGCTGTTTTCCACAGCCATGAACTGCTGCCCTCTGCTATGTGTCAGTCTGCCTTGGACCCAGCTGAGTATGGAATGAAACCTCCACTAACTGTGAGCTAAATCAACCTTTCCTTCCTTCATTTGGGGTGTCAGGTATTTTGTCCTATCAATGAGAGAAAAGTAACCAAGAAAGAACGTGGTGCCAGGAATAGGGTCGTTGTTGTGACTAAATCTGACAATGTGGATTACAAGCCTTTGGGAATGGCTTATGGGAAGAGATAGGAAGGGTTCAGAGATGCCGCTTATAAGAAAAGTGCTGGAACAGCTTTGGCTGTTCTGTATGGGAGATTCTGGTCAGAACTCAGAAGCCCAAAATGTTGATAGAAACTGCCTGTAAAGACCAGGTGGGGACGTTCCTGTTGACAAGGAATGTGTGGGTTGTTGGAATTGGGATGATTTGTGTTATGGCTTGGAAGAAAGTTTGTCTGCTTTTTGCTCATGTCCAAAGATTTTGCCTGAGACTGAGATCAAGTGTAGAGGCCTGCTTAATCTTGCAAATGAAATTTCAAGGCAGTTGAATGTTGCAGCAGTGGAATGGCTATTGTTGGGAGCTTTTAATGAGATATATGTTGAGAATCAAGAACAAAGAGCCCAGCAGGATGATTTAAAATATTGGGAGTTTGGCCAAAAATGAAAAACCAATAAAGCTTTGTACTGCAAATATAAAGCTAAGAGAATCTCCATTGCTGGGAAGAAACCAGAGAATAAAAACGATGGCCTGAGAGCATCATAGGAGGCAGCAGGTCTCTACCTTGCAGCATCAAAACTTCAAGGGTGAAACACTGCTTTGAGGAGAAAGTCTTAGAATGCCATGTTCCAGAATGGTAGTGGTGGCCAGACCAGGTTCCAGAATGGTGCCAACATACAGAATTTGCTCCTTGGAATCAGGTCAGAGTGCTCAGTGATCCAGACACTCCACCCCTACAGCCAAGAGAGAAGACAGCCTGGCTACTGCTCCAGCTGGCAGCAGACCTTGGCACCATCCATGTGGTATTGGTTTTAGGCACTGGCTGAATAAAAGAGTTCTGAGGTTAAGAAAGCTTCTCAAAAGGCCTAGAAGGACAGGCAGTGTGCCTGAGAGGGCAGTGTGTGAAGCAGAGAGTGAGAAGCTTAATGTGCAGTAGAAACCCCAGGAGTTTGAAAAAGCCAAGAACATGGATCATCTAAGGGAAACTGCAAAAGGGGAGCAAAGCAGGCTTAAGAGAGAAGCCATGGGAGCTACCACCAAGAGTGCCGTAGGGGCGGAGGCACCTGGAGCTTACAATTTGCCACAGATTGCTTTGGATGTTTAACATGGAACTGTGGGACTTAATGTTTGCCCCTCTGGATTTTGGACCTGCTTTGGTCCCAATGCTTGGTATCTTGCTGTGTGTACCTTTTGGAATGGTAATGTTTGTCTTGTGCCTTTAAATGTTGGAACTGTTTAACTTTTCATTTGTATAAGGGCTCACAGCTAAGAGTCTGCCTTAGATTTCTGAGAAGACTTGGACTTTTCAGCAAAAACTTAGAAACTGTTAGGACTTTGGCAACTCCTGCAGATGGACTAAAATGCCTTTTGCATAGAGGGAGGTGCATGAGTCTTTGGGGGGCCAGGGGTAGAATGTTATTGTTGTGTCTAGATGTCCCCCATTGCTCATTTAAGTCATGGGACAGACTTCTACAGTTCGTTATTAACTCATGACCCACTGGGATTATGGGTGTGAGTGCTTCTGGGATTATGGGTGTGAGTGCTACCCATCCTGGGGTGGGTAGCCTGATGGTCACTGTTGCTGCTACTCCTCCCTTTTGCTCTTGCTGTTTTCCACTGCCATTAACTGCTGCCCTCTGCCATGTGCCAGTCTGCTTTGGACCCAGCTGAGTATAGACTGAAACCTCCACTAACTGTGAGCTAAATAAACCTTTCCTTCCTTAATTTTGGGTGTCAGGTATTTTTTTTTTCCCAGTAGTGATAGAAAAATAACTGAGACACCAAGCTAGAATAATAAGCTGGGCACTAGCAAGCACCTGTAATCCTAGCTACCAGGAGGCTGAGGCAGAGTGATTGTAAATTCCAGGCATGCCTGAGCAACCTAGCAAGACCCTGTCTGAAAAATTTTTAAAGGGCTGGGACTATAGCTCCAAAGAGTGTGTACCTAGGATGTACAAGGTCATAGTTTCAATCCACAGAGCCATAAAATCAAAAACAGATGCGTGACAAATAGAGGAGAGAGAAATAGGTGCATAGATAGATAACAATAGATGCAGACAGACCAAGTTTAGGTAGATAGAATAAATGAACTAAGGCACAAGTTTGTATCAAAGTATTCTTTCAAAGACAAACTCATTCTGCATCAAGCAAAAATGGAGTGAACAAACTAGGCATTCCTCACTGATAAGATTCAAATACTAACTGGCTCAGCTTTTATTTTTTGTGGGTTCAGTGTGGGCATTAGAATCTCAAAATAAAAAAAGTATGACTCTTCAAATTTGGCACGGTGGATGAGTCAGGCATAGAGGTACACACTTGTAATCCCAGAACTCGGAATGAGGCAGGGGAATCATTGGGATTTCGAGACCAGTTTGGGCTACAAAGTGAGTTCAAGGCCAGCCTGAACTGCGTAGGAGACCCTTTCTCAAAAAGACAAAACAAACAAACAAACAAATGTGTGGTGGCAGCCCACTGAAAGCCCAGCAGGGTGGCAATCATCACAGCAGCTCCAAGGCTGAGGGTGGAAGAGCCCAGGGGCTCACAGCCAGCCTGGGCAGTGTAGTGAGGGCCTTGTCTCAAAATCATAGAAGGCTTTACCTGATACTTCTGCAAGCGTCTTTCTGTGTACGGAGAAACAACAACTCTGTGGCAGCTCTGATTTATACAAAGAGGAAAATCTTTGTTTTTCAAAATCCTGTCAGCAACTAAAAGTAAACAAAAAAAGTTCTAGTATCATAAACATGGTTAACAAAGTTAAAACTTCTTTCCAATAAGATTTAATATCATAGTAAACAGTGAATCTAGTGATTAATTTCTAAAAAATTCTATGATCTACACTGAAGACTTTACAGTTCATACTTTTTAAAAACATAAGTTTTAATAGTTCCTCCTGCCTTGAACCATTCGCTGCAGCCAACCAAGGGGCTGCAGAGTCCTCAGACAGCCATCCCTCAAGCTCTCCAGAACACAGTCATCTGCCCTCATCCTCGTGGGAGACTGCTTGGCTGGCCTAGTCCATGACAGTCAGCTAAAATAATTATTAACCCAACAAGAAGGGGCACTCAATGTCACCTAGAAATTGTTGAAGGCAAGTAAGCCCAAGTGTTTATAGTTTTCTCAATTACAAATAATAATCTCATTTCTTTTTAGCAATATTTTTTCTCCTGAAGTGGATAACAGTAGTGTGTCAAGACTGGATAAAATTTAATGGAAACAATTCTTGTTTGAACAAATGCCTTTTTGTTAAAACTCCCTTCTTTAGTCTACCAGGGTCAGCAATGGGGTATGCTAGTTTAAAAACAGTTCATTAGTATAAGAACTCCAAAGAAGAAATACAAATAGAAAGATATAATACAAGGAAAGGGAAAGCAGGATCTCAAGGACTAACTAATCAAGAGA